CCGATAGCGAGGAGCTGCTCGACCCGGCTCTGGCTGGGGAGGTGCCGGATGATGCGATGACGTGAAAAGTACACGCAAGGAGGATCCGGAGTTGGCCGGCTTGTGAAGAGGGGGGGGGGGGGAGTGTGTTCCTGGAGGTTCCATTTTTGCCCTGGTGGGTTTTCACGGATCCGGAGGTGTTTTTGCCTATGGCCAGCCTTTGGCAAACTATTCCCGTCACAAATAGCTGGTGACCTGGAGAGAGACACATGCCAAGACGAGCAATAATTTCCAGACGCAGCGAAGTGGTTTTGAAAGAAGTCCTGCTTATTTCCCGTGCTGTTCATTATGCATGACATGCCCTCCCTCTCTATTTGTAGCTCTTCACCCTGCTGCCGCCAAGCTCTGCCAGCAAATCCTGGTTCATCGGCATCTTGATCTCTTCGATGGATACTTGTCGGGGAACCAGGTATGACATTCGTCGCAAGGCTCATCAAGTCGGATCGTCTGCCATATTTGACGGTGCCCGCATGGCTTTTGAATCAGGCTAGCTGGGTGACAGAAACGGGCAAATGTAAAGGTAAGATGCTTGCAGACGAATGCATGAGCGTAGTACTGGCACATGATGTCTGTCTTCTACTTGCTGCTCGGCGGATAGATTGGGTAGTGATGTTGCTGTTGACGGTCAGAGTGATGACTACACCATGCTCGTTTGTTCTGTTTACAGGGTGGAAGTTGATCAGATTGCGTGACTGTCCAGCTTGCACGTGGGTCGAATTTTGAGCAAAGAATGACCTGTTTTCTGAGGGGCCGAGTGCAGGCTTTGGCAAGAATGGCGTGGCCGATATTGGTGTTGAATTCGAGGTCTCAGTCTGCGCCGAGACGGAGACGGAGCAGGCGCTCAGGGCAAGAATAGCGGAAATAAAAGAGCAACGTTAACGATGGTTCTAATATTCATAAGATGATGCTGACAGCGTGGAGTTTATCTTGAACATAATCAAACAAGCGCCTTAAACGAGAATGCCCAATCTGACTAGAATATTGACCAAGCTGCTGCCTCCCCTTGAACAGTCGATAAAGGTTGGCAAACAGCGACGACGTGTAGTGAATCGACTGAACGAAAGCTTCGGGCACCGAAATGTGACCACATATGGGAAGGTGAGTTGTTTGGAAAGCTGTAGGCAGCCTCG